CTCCAGTCACACTGGCTTGCCTTGGCTCCTTGGGCACCCTTCCCACAGTCTCTGCATGTGTGCTTACTCTGCCCAGCTCGCTTCACTCACTTTCCTCAACTACCGCCCTCTCTCCCTTTGCCTGGTTAACTTCTCCAGTCTTTCACATCTCACTTTAAATTTTGCTTTCTCTACTCACCTTCTCTGATCTTTCTGAACAGGTCAGTCCTCTATTAGGGACATCTGCCGTCCAAGCACTTACAGTTGCCACTTTGTGTTTCTTCATGTGGCTTTCTTGATCAATGTCTACCCCCCCTCCCCCACCAAACTGTAAGCTCCATGGTGGCAGAGACGTGATCTCTTGAACTTCTCATTACTCCCCCAACACCACCTAATGCAGTGGCCATTATACAGCATGTACTTAATAAGTAGTTTATGATTTGTTTAGTGAGTGAATGAGTGAACCTGTGGATTTCACTCATCTTATTCTCCCTGGGGTTTATCTTTCTCAGAAGAGCTAACAGTAGTTTGAAAAAAAGTCTTCTGATAATGAATGCCAATGTGTGGTTTTAACTCAATAGGTAGGAGGGAATTGGCAAAATGAAGTTACAATCAATGACCAAAATCATCTGTCTACTTTTCTCCTAGGGCTTTAGGAAAAGAGGGGAAACTTAGCCTCAGTGGTCAGAGTGTCCTAGGGCATACCTCATACTTTTTACGTGGGACCATTTCGAGAATGGGTAACAGTGAGTTTATTTAATAAAATGAAATTCATCCCACTCTGTAGACGGACCCTTGGTCTCTAGGTGTTTTAACAGTACCATGATCTTAAAAAAATCAGCGCTCTGGGGTGCTTGGGTGGCTCAGTTGGTTAAGCGTCCGACTTCAGCTCCGATCACGATCTCACAGTTCATGGGTTCAAGCCCTGCGTTGGGCTCTGTGCTGACAGCCAGCTCAGAGCCTGGAGCCTGTTTCAGATTCTGTATCTCCCTCTCTCTCTGACCCTCTCCTGTTCACGCTGTCTCTCTCTCTCAGAAATAATAAATAAAAACATTTTAAAAAATAAAAATAAATTGCTAAAAAAAATCAGCACTCTGAGGTTTAAGTGGTATGTTGGTAAATAAGTATCATATTTAAAGTTTGAATTTTTAATATAATTTTCATATTTAGTTAAAATTACTTTTTAAAAAGTGAGGTCTGGTATCTTGGCAATTCTAAGACTATTTACCAAAATTATTCTGTGTTGGAGATTGGAGTATGAGCTCTGTAGCATTTAGTGTTAATGAGAAATAACATAAACGATAAGGTAAGTTTACGAAGTGGCACAAAACTTGGATCCACTTAGAAGACATCCAGAGAAATCAATAAAGGATTATTGCCTTTTTTAGAAAAGATGATTCTAAATTATTTTCTATACATTTTTAAAAACTGGATCACACCTTGAAATGATTTTCTCCTTTACTCTATTTTTTTTTTATTTATTTGTTTGTTTGTTTGGGCAATGATATGAAGGACACCTGGAACTGCTTATAACATTAAAAGGTGGACTAGCTGATGTCTCTTTCTGAACCACGTTGGAAGTTGTCAAGTATTTCCCACCTTAATAAAATCACAAATCTGTAGAAGCCACAAGGACATTTGATACCTAGGAGATCTGTAGTGTTGGTATGCTGGAGCCTGAAATGTATTCTGGAAAGGGCTCAGACAAATTACATTAGTATGTTCTGCTGGTCCTGAAGTCAAGGTCATGGTAATTACCAACTGAAAATATTTAAAGGTTTCTGTGAATAAGATCTAGGTGCTTAGGGTTTGTTTCACCTAAATGTTGTATTATGATTAGTAACTATTATAAATTCTTTTTTAAGAGAAATTTATTATGGAGGGCAAAAACATTCTATATTCCTTTGTCTCAGTTAACCTCTCCGTGGAAAGTTGAGCTTTTCACACCAGGGTTTCACCCACATTGCAGGCTACCACCTCACCAGGAACTAAGTTGCACCCCGTGCTGTGAAGGAAGGTCAGATATTACCATGTCAGGTAGGAAACCCAGATGCCCTACAAAGTGGATTTAGAAAGACTTTTGTTCCATGGTATTCACTTCATTTGGGCCCTTATCTGGGAGCTATAAAGAATGGCCAGACAGAAGACATGAACAGACACTTCTCCAAAGAGGACATCCAGATGGCCAACAGACACATGAAACGATGCTCAGCATCCCTCCTCATCAGGGAAATACAAATCAAAACCACACTGAGATACCACCTCACGCCAGTCAGAGTGGCTAAAATGAGCAAATCAGAGAACTCTAGATGCTGGCGAGGATGTGGAGAAACGGGCACCCTCCTACACTGTTGGTGGGAATGTAAACTGGTACAGCCCCTCTGGAAAACAGTGTGGAGGTTCCTCAGGAAACTAACAATAGAACTCCCCTAGGACCCAGCAATAGCACTGCTAGGAATTTACCCAAGGGATACAGAAATGCTGAGGCATAGGAGCACATGGACCCTAATGTTCATAGCAGCACTCTCCACAATAGCTAAAACATGGAAAGAGCCAAAGTGTCCATCAACAGATGAATGGATCAAGAAGATGTGGTTTATCTATACCATGGAATCCTACATGGCAATGAGAAAGAATGAAATCTGGCCATGTGTAGCAACATGGATGGACCTTGAGGGTGTTATGCTGAGCGAAATAAGTCAGGCAGAGAAGGACAGATACCATATGTTTGCACATATAGGAGGCTTAGGAGGAACTTGACGGAGGAACAAGGGGGAGAAGAAGGGCGGAAATGGTGGGGGAAAAGGAGAGAGGCAAACCATGAGAGACTCTTGAATGCTGACAAAAACTGAGGACTGATGGATGTAGGGGGGAGGGGGGATGGGCATGGAGGAGGGCACTTTGGGGATGAGCACTGAGTGTTATGTGGAAAATAATTTGACAATAAACTATTTGTTAAAAAAAAAAAAAAAAAAAAGAATGGCCAGAAAAAGCAGCTGACCTCTGAGACAGCGTGCTCACCTCTGGACAGCACAGAAGGGAGGCTTGATAGCTCTGGACCCAATAGGGTAGGTGTGCGCAGGGCAGCCTACACAGTAGACGATCCAGTGGGAGGAATGGGGATTCAGGAATGTCCTCTCTTCTTGCTTAAACTGGCGGGAACGACCCCTCTACTAATATCACGGTGGCTAGCGGTTTCAAACTCAGAGTACTTGGAAATTAGCTAATCCAATTTACTTGGGTTTAGAGGTAAAAACAAGTCCCAGAAAATGTAAAAGGCTCTCCCCAACAGATTTCTGTGTGTTTAAATGTCAGTATGCGACTTGATAGCACTTCACTGATGCGAAGACCTGAGTGGGGAAGGGCTAATCGTACTAAATTTGCATGCATTCAACTCTCTGACCAGAACACCTCCCAGTGACACAGACAGCACAGTGCCTCTCTTGGAAGAGGCAGCCTAACCAGAGTTTCCTCTGAATTCTGATGAGCAAAGCATTTGCAAGTGGTAGCTCGGTGTTGAGGCGCAAATGAACCATATGTGGGGTACAGATTGCCCTGGAAAACGAAAGCTTACCTGAAGGAGTGAATGATATTGGCAATGAGTGTGCATTTTTTAAAATTATGTTAATTAAATTCTAAGAGGAAAATTTTCTAGGAATAATATGCCTAAAGATGAGAAAAACTTCTTGGCCCCGGATACCATTCCTTAAAGGGTACATCTTGCTGAAATGCTCCTTGGAGTGTTACATTGCACACTCTCGTTTCACCGAATGGGCTCTTCATCCCTTGTAGTTTATGTAACACAGTTTGTGCAAAGAGGAGAATATCCTGATTGCAGAAGGATGGGAGAGGGAGGATAGTATGGGAAGCCATCAGTGGAAAATCCACTGTGTTCCTTCCTCTAAGTCAAATCCAGAGTTCCGGGAGGATAGCGGCCTTCCAGGGCTCACTTTGATGACCTACTCTGAATATGGCATTTTCAGCCCTCAGACAGGGTATCCAGCTCCCTTGGTCTCCTGCCCCCTGCTGGAAGGAGGAGTGTGGTGCCCCCATCCCCAAAGCCTCCCTCAAGGAGCCCTCAGCATTGGATCAGCTCCTCCCTCGGAGACCCCACTGACATCTACAGCACTCTTGTTCAAAATAGGAAAAGGCCATTCTGGGGCCATAGGTCTGAGCCTTATTTCTGCATTGATTGTAAAACTCCCGCTTCTCCTTTTCTTCCTTTATTAGGCAAACAAATAACACCTCCAATTCTTGGTGCAAACATTTGGACCCAGTTAACTCTCCATTTTCAGAGCTCCAAGATAATAAAAACAGAAAAGATCCCATCATTCTATACTACAGGGCCATTTAATGGCTGAGAAGACCTTCCATTTTCACCATGTTGGGCAGGGCTAATAGGAGCAGGCTCATTGTGCACAGAGATCTCTTTCTCAGTTTATAATCCCAAACTGACTGGGGACAGCTGCTCTCTGTGGACATACGTGTAGTTCTCAGTACTAGGACATGTGCCAGGGCCCCATTCTAACACCCATTCCAACCTTCTAACATAGAGACTTCCCAGTCCTTCCCACTGTCCCCTCTGGTCCTTGCCCTCCACACCGTCAAATACAGGTGTGCATGGATGCCCCATGCTCCAAGCACATCTAGATCTCAAGGTAGCATAACTGTGCATTTTTCCCCTTACTGTGCCAAACTTGTATTTCTTTTCTGCGTACAAAGCTCCCTCTGAATTAAGGGATCTTTTTATAGCAGAGACGCAGTTCTGTCTGATTTGAATGATGTTCCGATGTAGAATATTAAAGTTAATACCTTTATTTTTATGCACCCCCAAACAGAGAAAGACTTTAATTTCTCCCATTAAAATAGATGTGAGAATTTGTAGTCTCACTCTTTGAGGAGACAAAAGTGGTTACAAAACTGTTCTGAACCTTCTGTTAATTTCTTACCTGTTGCTTGTTATTGAGATGTAAATGTTAAATGTAAACTCCAATTTAACACAATATTCATTCTTTCCGCAGCACCTGAAATCCTTAGAGGCTGTGCCTATGGACCTGAGGTGGACATGTGGTCTGTCGGAATAATCACCTACATCTTGTAAGTGAAGAAAAGCAATCTCTATGCATAGTATTTGTCTTTGCTGTAATATTTTCTAGGTACTTATAGTCCTTATAAAATGCAAGATTACTTTTTTACTTTTGTAATTTTCGACGACATACTAAATGTAGCCAGTGGTAGAATTTTCAGAAAATAAGCATTACTTTTTATTCTATAATTTTCTTAGAACCAGCACTTCTGTCCAGGACTTCTCTCTCTCTTTTTCTGGTAAGGTTTATTTATTTATTTTGAGAGACAGACAGACAGAGACACAGATCGAGAGAGAGAGAGAGAGAGAGAGAGAGAGAGAGAAAGCATGAGCAGGGGAGGGGCAGAGAGAGAGGGAGAGAGGGAAAATCCCAAGCAGGCTCCACACTATCAGTGCAGAGCCTAACACTGGGCTTGATCTCATGAACTGTGAACAGAAATCAAGAATCAGATGCTTAACAGACTGAGCCACCAGGCACCCCACTGTCCAGGACTTTCCTCTGTCTCATTTTGCAGTGCTTTGTATAGCACATTTGGAGAACAGTTCATTATTTGATGATAGGAATGAATGTGAAACTCAAGTCCATCTATTAAAAACATGCTGTTATTTTACTTATCTGCATCTCGTCAAAATACAGTATTAGTCCTTTTTAAAAAACAAGTGGTTTTTAATCTCTTAAACAATTCCAGACTGGTACATTTCTTGTCAGCAATGTCTTTAATGCAGTTTGGCTATCAGTTTTGTTTTCTATCTCTGTTAGGTCCTCAAGGACCTTGAGTTTAATACCCTAAACTCAGGGAAACCTTTTCTCTGGTAGCAAAAACTTGGGCTAATCTCTTTCTCTCTGGTATCCCCGATTCCATTCCTGAGCTCCTGTCTACGAATAAACAAGGAGTTTCAGGAAATTTGCCAGAGAGATGATGGAACTGCAAAGGAATTTGAGGGAGGTAAGCAAGAAGAACAGAAGAGTATCTGGGAAGACTTCTGAAGAGAGGCTGCAGAAGAAAGATATCAATGAGTTCCAGAGTTTAACTTGAAACAAGCAGATTTGGTTGCCATTAGAGGACACTGCACAGTTACTTGTTAGGACCTATAACCTCCAAATCTATAAAGATTTTGGAAGATATGGAAGAAAGGATATTAATCATCTCAGGCTGCCATGACAAAATACTGCAGACTGGGTGGCTTAAACAACAGAATTTTATTTCTCACAGTTTCAGAGGCTGGAAGTCTGAGATCAGGGTGCTGGGAGGTCCAGTCCTGGTGAGAGCTCTCTTCCTGACTTGCAGACACCTATCCTCTAACTTTTTCCTTACATGGCAGAGAAAGAATATAAGCTCTTTGGTGTCTCTTCTTCTACAGACACAAATCACATCACGCAGTTAGCCCACCCTCACGACCACATCAAATCCTAATTACCTCCCAAAGGCCTCATCTCCAAATACCATCGCACTGGGGACTTAGGACTTCAACATATGACTTTTAAGGAGACACAATTTAGTCCATAGCAGAAAGAGGTGTTGGGTTGTTTGTTTTTAATTTAATAGTGATCTTAGAAAGTGTAGTATCTGGGTAATAAGGACTAGGAAGAGGGTACCTAGGATACCCCCAAACAAATTAGTAAACTCTAAGTTCACCTGGGTATATTCAATGGTCAGTAGCCAAGACAGTTTAATAAGCAACCCATTTAAATAGCTGCCTGCTACTATGTAATGTCAAAAGATAGTTTCAGTGTTGAGTTCTTTGTGTATCTAGAATACAGTAAAGGCTTGAAAAGCATTTGGAGAGGTAGAGAAACACTTTTTCTTATGGAAATGCAAAACAGGTAGTTTGTTTGCTCATACTAAGTGCTTAATTCACTAAAATGAATTTCTGAGTCCACATCATGGAATTCCTTCAGCTTACATTTGAGGTCACTTTTATGCTCAGGAGAGAATGTTGGCTCCTGAATTAGGTAGGTGACATATCACTCTTAGTGATGTTAAATAAAAAACTGAACTATACAAATAATGAATCAGATTTCCCCCTAAAATATCCGTGTACCCACCCAACTGCAATTTCATGTTGAAATGTGATTGGAGTGTGGGGAACAGTGTAAGCATTAAGGTTGTACAGGAACTCAGAGAGACAGAGGTAGGAAACTACATCACATTCACCCTGAGAACCTGAAATATAGAATGAGTAAAACCCCACAACATAGTCACCTAGCAGGGAAAATGAAGAATGAAAGATGTGATTGTTGGAGAAACATCATAGCCCTGAAAATAAGAGTCAGTCAAAGTCCTTTCCCCTGATTCACTAAAGGTCATTCATTAGTAGATGTTGGTTCTAAGTACACGGTAATACCCATGACCACTGCCACAGCCTTCCCTGTGACCTTCCCACCAGGCGATGTTCACTGCAACAGGTTCTCCAAGACCATGCTGTTGGACCTGGGTACCTCCTTTACTATAATTAAAAGTTCTGCTGAGCTATTTTGTGCTGTGACCTTGCCATTTTCTAAGGATGACAGTAGACTGGAAATGAAGGCCATTTTGTTGTTTCTCACAGAAATTCTGGTCACTGTACCTTTTACACTTAAACCCTTTGTGCCTTTGGATAAAAGCAGAACTACAATGCTCAGGTCAGAATCTGTTAAGGTCAGAGATTTGAACTGTGTCCTGCAGCTGTCCACACTACAGTTCAGACCAGCAGCCTGGAGCTCCCCTATATCAGACATTCACATGTCTGGCGTGTCTAACCCTAATGTCCTCCACAACTTACATTGTCAGGATTTTCAAATATTTCCATTTCTGAAGGCTTTTTGCACTGTGCGGGTGCATGTGTGTGTGTATATTGCTCTGTGTCACAGTTCTTCCATTTTTGGTATTTCAGGCTGACATGACATAAACTTTTTACTTCTGTCACCAGTGCATAGATTTACAGACATGTTTGAGAAGTAAGAAAGGCATTTGAGTACTGTACCTTCTGAACTGTCAGTCTTCGTTCTAGATTTCCAGAAGGGGAAACTGAAGAGCTTCCTAAACTAAGCTGGGAACATTGGCTAATTTCTCCATGACTAACCAACAGTAGACTATATTTTTCTAGTGTTGTGGCTGGCACCTGAGGGCCCAGCAAGGCTGAGCTGCCCCCTTGTCAAGGTGTGGACGTGGGCTCCCGTTCTCCTTTTGCGGGAGCGGGACTCTCGGCGCAGATGGCTGGCTGCGGTGGGAGAGGAGGACGCGCTGGTCCAAGCCTCAGCACTGCCAAGCCTTTCTTGTCCTGGCTGGCTCCAGAATATTTAAAAGAGACAAAGATTCCCAACAGAACAGTCTGAGCAAAAGACGTGACAAAATGCTTTTCCCTAGAAACCCACTGCATTAGAAAGCACTCAAAGATTTCATGCTCTGCAGTCCCCTGACCAACTTGAAGGAAGAATTTAGGAAAATGTTTTTTAACGTGTTTATTCTTTTCCCCCCATTTTTTGTCCAGTGCAACTCATGTCGTGGTAGGGACTTGTTTTTGTAGTTTCCTCTTAATCCCTAGTGATTTCAGAACCCGTACCCGCCTGTAAACAGTGGAGGTTTTTGGTGGTCCCAGGTCAGCAACTCACTTTTCCTCTCTCTCTGTAGGATGCCAGAGATGATTTTCTTTTCTTTTCCTCCACTTTTCCCATTCATCTGTATGCTGACCCCCTCGTGGAATATGAAGGTGAATGTAGGTCCTTAAGATGTACAGAAGTGAGGGTCACACACAGGGCTGAGGGAACGCCAGCCCATTCATCTGTGTTGGCTCCGTGTGTTCACTCTGTCACGTTTCTAAGGGTCAGTTCCTGACAACAGTCTTAGCTCCTGTCTTTGTTCACCCTGACATCCAAACTGGGGTGGGATGGAAATCTAATACTTTACTAATTTCTATCGCAGAATTCAGCGAATAGGACTGAGTAAAAATGACTGAAAAATCTTTTCTGTCTACCTCTTAATCTGTTTATTCTCGAAATCCTAATTTTTCTACTTTGTAATAAATTGGAACTCTAATCAATCTGTCTTCTCAATTCCTGCTGAAAAGAAATTCTCAGAAAATCATTATTATGATGTGCTTGTAATACTGTTAGCGATTATTATTGTTTTGTGTCAGACTTATTAATGTTATTATAAACTTTGTAGAAATTCTGAATTGGTTTTGTACCTATTTTTACTTCCAGAGAACATGATTGTGTATTTACACAGCAGAAGTGAATTATAACAAGGCAGTTCTACACTCGTGCTCAGTAGACTGGTGTTCATAACAGGAAGCTGTGAAAAGAACAGTCCTGAATTTCCACAAAATTTTGATGAAATGTATTTAGGCTTTTAATGACATTTTACTCCCTATCTTTTGTCCTTTAGACTTTGTGGATTTGAACCATTCTATGATGAAAGAGGTGATCAGTTCATGTTCAGGAGAATTCTGAATTGTGAATACTACTTTATCTCCCCCTGGTGGGATGAAGTATCTCTAAATGCCAAGGACTTGGTAAGTATGATCAAAACAAAATGAAGAACAATCTTCATATTCATTTTTAATTAGTTAATGGACAGTGTTATTTTTTTAATTTGCCCCCCCCTTAATGTCTTATTTCTTTATAGTTCTATTTTTTATAAAACATATAAAATGCACATGAATGCATTTTCCTTGTAGATAATGAAAAACAGATATGCCTGACTCATCACTAGCTGAATTATCACACACTAAAAGTCACTACAGTATTAATTAGTGGGTTTTTACCATCTAGTCAGTGTAGAACTTTGCTTATGAAGCCAGCTGTGGTGGGTGAATTCAAATATAATTTACACAGAATAATTCCATTTTAACCTGGCTTGCCTAGATTACATAGATTTGATTATATTTCAAATAAAGCATTGCATCTTGAAAGGTTCAAACTTATTAAATATCCCAGTAGTAACACAAGTCCCATCATGTATCACTGGCATCACAAACACAGTTACACACTACTAAAAGTTCGTTTTGTTTGTTTTTTTGTTTGTTTTACTTGGGATCTCACTTAAGCTAATACTAAAGTTTGTTTGTATAAAGAAAGCGCATATCATCGGAGGTTATGGCCCACCTGTTCTAAAATGAAAGGGATACTAGCCTGAGATGAAAACATTAATCACCAATCAGCTAGAGAAAAACCACACAAAAATAACTAAAAGCTGACTTTTAAATCATGGAAGGCTAGCTCTCCAAGGGATCTTAGGAGGCATCTCTTGTTTCCCTCATTTTAAAGATGAAGGTGCTAAAGCCCAGAGAGGTGAAAGGACTGTCCAAGGTCACACAGCTCCCCAGCAGAATGAATCATCCAGGTTTTTGGCCAATGCTCTTTTCCCTCCAAACATTTTCTTCTTCGCACCCATGTTCTTTCATGGAACAAACCCCCTGTAGACCATGACTTTCCAGTACAGCCAGGCAGAGAAGCAGTATGTGTGCGACGTATGGAGGCATCATCCCAAATCCTGGCTCACGTCAGGCGCTGCACTCTTAAACACCTCTTGAATCCATCTGCTTCTCCCTACTCCACCACCACTGCCCCTGCCGGGCCTGTCCTCTCCCGTGACCCACCAGCACAACCTCCCCTGTGGCCTTCCCACCTCCTCCACACCCTTTTCAGGTGGGCTTGCCATGCAGGATTCTAAGGAAGGGCCTAGTAAATAAATCACCTCCTGTCACTCTTCTGCTTTGAAGCTCTTAGGAGAAAATCCAAAATCTGTAATGAGATCTGCACATCACCGCCTGGTCAGGAGCCTGTCACCCTGCCCGTGCCACCCATTTCACAGCACTGCCCTCTGGTCTATCTTCACACCAGGGCACCGGACTAACAGCTCCCTCGTCAGGGTAGCTCAGCATGGGGCCATTACTCTTTCCTCTGCTTCCTCCTATCTTCCTCCTATCTTCCACCCTCTTCCTCCACACTGTCTCTCTCTCATATACGCACATGCACATACACATGCACATGCTATGCACACACACACCTCTCGCATGGGTAACTCTTCTTGTCAAGCCACAGTTGGCCATTTGACACCCTCGGGGTAGCTTTGCCCCCTATTCAGCAGTCCCTCCTTCCCACATCTGCTTTGTTCCTTCTGCTGCAGTTGTTCCTTTGGCCCAACTCACTCTTTGTCAGTGACGGTTGTTACCTGTATTTACTTGTGGAATGGTCTTCCTTAACTGGACTGCAAGTCATGGAAGAGGTTGAGGTGTGTGTGCCCAGATCTTAGTACCACTTAGTACCACAGTGGGCATATCTACAGACTCAGTAAATGGTACTGAATGAAACAATGGATCAGGAAGTAGAGCATAGATTTTTTCAAGTCTGACACACCTAAAGTGCCCTCTTGAAAATGCCCGCTTTCTTACAACCTAGAAGTGTGACCTTGGGCTTGTTATCTAATCTCTCTGCTTTAGTTTTCTTTTCTGGGCTGATACCAGTACCTTTCTCTAGATTGTTTTGAGACTTGAGGATATAATGCATGTTAACTGACTACCATCAACTAACTCCGTAACAGTTCCTTCACTTAGCCATCTTTCCATTTCTTTTCCTAATAAAAATTAAGTGGATAAGAGGGTTAGCTGTGATATACCTTCATTCGGCTAAATTTTTTTTTAAGTTTATTTATTTTGAGAAAGAGACAGCATGAGTGGGGAAGGAGGACAGAGAATCCCAAGCAGGCTCTGCACTGTGGGCACAGAGCCAGATGTGGGGCTTGAACCCATGAAACTGCAAGATCATGAATCTGAGCCAAAACTTAGAGCTGGATGCTCAACCAACTGAGCCACCCAGGTGCCCCTCAGCTAAATTTTCCTTAATTTATTTATTTTGAGAGAAAGAGAGCATACAAGCACGGGTGTGGGAGAGACAGAGAGAGAGAATCCCAAGCAGGCTTCAGTGCAGAGCCTAATGCAGGGCTCAGACTCCTGGATCATGAGGTCATGACCTGAGCCAACATCAAGAGTTGGATGCTTAACCAACTGAGCCACCCAGGCACCCCCATTCAGCTAAGTCTTACCTTTGAACTAATACATTATGAAACATCAGAAGTAAAAGAATCCTCGAGAGCCACAGCTGTGTACTTATCAGCTGGGGAAAAGTGCCAGCATGTGGTAGAGTCAGGTTGTAAGGGGAGTTGTAGGATCAAGGCAAGGCTTTGGATTTGAATCTTGGCAAGGTCACTGGGTCTCTCCGACCTTAAACAAATTTAACAATTCAGTGCATCGGTATCTTCAGATGTAAAGATTAATGCTGACTTGTGGAATTTGGGGGAACATACCAACTTTCAGTAAGTTCTTTGTATTTTCATGAGGATGAAGACGGTAATGATGAGGAAGAGGAAAAGGACCATTAAAAATGGGAGGGAAATAATGTCATTGTGAATTGTTGCTAAGGACTAGGTGCCATTTACATAAAATTATTAGGACACATATCCCTTAGGTGATAGCTGTGACTGCAATCAGATTTTTACCTCCTGCTGCACATTCCTTTTCCTTAACCACCTGTACCTCCCACCACCTCCTCTCAGGTTTTTAGCCCAAACAACCTCACATCTCTGCCCTCTACAGATTTTGTCTCTTACCCCAAACACACGTTTGTTTTTAACTTTTACAGAAAAGGAGTAAAAGGAGAACCAGATATGTGTTCTTCATTTGACTTGCTGCCTGATTGTGCTAGCCTGTGTTCAGAGTTTCTTACCTTATCAGAGTTAGAAAGGCCTTAGGTCTATGACCCCCAAAGCCCCTCCTCTACCACATGAGCAGACTGAAGGTTAGAGGGGTTGACGGATTGCCGTGGAGGTGCTGTGGTGTAGTGGCCACAAGATAAGCTCCGAGGTGAGACAGACCTGAGTTTGCACACAGCCTCCACCAATTAGAAGTTGTCTGACCTTAGATAAGGCACTACAACTTTCTGAGCTCCCTCCCCTCCCTCATTTATGAAGTGGAGTTAATAGTTCCAAGTTGATAAGGTCATTGAAAGAATTACACGAGTTTTGAAACATTTTTATACACACATAAGAATGTATTTACAAAAGCATTAAGGTAGAAATGAGATCATATAAGAAAAGGGCCTAGGAGAATGTCCATAGGGACTTAGTAAGTGGGTTTCTTACTAGGCTCACAAAAGTAGGTAAGAGATGTAACTGGGCTTGAACATGCCTCCTAACTCCAAATAGTCTCTTCCTCATTCCAAGTCATCCTTCTGGGCCCAGGGCCAGAAATTATTTTGGTTGTTGATCTCCCTGGCAGTTTATTATCTGCTCACCTTCAGGGGTCAACCTCCAGAATGGTCTGCCATGGGTTGACTCCAGTCCTTTAAACAAATCATGCCCCGAAGCCACTGATACCTTTACTTTGAATAGGCTTTTACTCCAGCCCGTGGCTTATTCCTTCAAAACCCTGAAGGTATAAGAGAGAGTGAACTATATCATAGGGTCATGGGATAAGCGTAAGGACTATGGTACTATCCCTCTGATGTCATTTAATCCCCACAGAAAGCATGATGGATGCACGATGATACCACCTCCATTGAGATGCATCAAGTTCTGAATTCTAAGTGGCATTGGGACACCTGGGTGGCTCAGTCGGTTAAGTGTCTGACTTTGGGTCAGGTCATGATCTCACGGTTCATGGGTTTGAGCCCCACATCGGGCTCTGTGCTGACAGCTAGCTCAGAGCCTGGAGCCTGTTTCAGATTCTGTGTCTCCCTCTCTTTCTGACCCTCCCCTGTTCACGCGGTCTCTCTCTCTGTCTCTCAGAAATAAATAAAACATTAAAAAAAAATAAGTGGCATGAAGTGCAGCCTAGAATTATTCAGATGCTGGTTCTCCTTCAGACAGCTTCTAGTCCACAGGCAAGAGAAGGACCTATTTCTTTAACCTCCCTTGGAAAGTCGTCTGCAAGCTTGGGCTCTCAGGTGGTACACACCACTGTCTTCTCAGACCCCACTGAGCCACTGCTACCTGAAGCTATCCTTACAGTGACTACTGAAGGCTTAAAAACTTTTTCTAAATGTATATTTCTGGTATTGCTAATAAAATAGAAAAGAACCCAGAAGTTCACAAGCTGAGGGGCAAGTGTGAGTCACCATAAAAAATCTTCCTAAGAAATTTCTGGTTCTTTATCATTTCAGGTTAGAAAATTAATTGTTTTGGATCCTAAGAAACGACTGACTACTTTCCAAGCTCTCCAGCACCCATGGGTCACAGGTAAAGCAGCTAATTTTGTACACATGGATACTGCTCAAAAGAAGCTCCAAGAATTCAATGCCCGGCGCAAGCTTAAGGTAAGATTTGTTTTGTTGTGTTCTGTTTAAAAAAAATAAAAGGATCTCTCTCTTAGCTTGAATTCTACTATTGAATTCTACTATTCTTCATCTAATAATATTATTCATCTCATACAGTACCAGGGAAAATCCTGCTTTGAAGTCCCAGCAATACTGGTATAAAGCCACAGACACTCATGTTATTCTCTCTTAAGAATTCATTATTGGTGTGCCTGGGTGGCTCAATAGGTTAGGTGTCCAGCTTTGACAGGTCATGATCTTGCGGTCCATGAGTTCAAGCCCCACATCGGGGTCATTGCTGACAGCTCAGAGCCTGGAGCCTGCTTCGGATTCTGTGTCTCCCTCTTTGCCTACCCCTCCCCACTTGTGCTCTATCTCTCTCTCTCAAAAATAAACAAACATTAAAAAAATTTTAAGAATTTATTATTAATAAAGGGAAAAGTGTTATATGTTGAGATTTACTCACCAAATACATTATCACTGCTTCTCATTTAATTACAACTGAACTACTTGAACATTATTGCTTAGGAAACTGGTACTTATTCAGAAAGCTTTCTTTCTGAATATGTGAAAATTGGGAAACTTTTAAAAACTATAATGTAATGTGGATAAATTACCATACTTGGTAAAAATTAAAATACAGTTAACCTTTGAACAATCCTAGGGTTAGGGGCACCAGCCCCTCAACACAGTTGATCTACCTATAACTTTTGCTCCCCAAAACTTCATCACTAATAGCCTACTGTTGACTGGTAGTCTTACAAACAACAGTCATTTAACACATATTTCTTATGTTCTGTGTTTTATGTGCCATATTCTTACAATAATACCTAACTTTTTCTTAATGTTTTGCGTATGTCTACCTACTTCATCTGCAAGTTTTTTCAAATTGTTCAAATCTCCAAAAAACTTTTCAGTGTATCTATTGAAAAAAATCTGTGTATAAGTGGATCCTTGCAATTCAAATCCATGTTGTTTAAGCATCAGCTGTAAATCATGTGATACAGAAAACTACCCAAAAAATATCTTTTTATAGAATACACCTAAAGATATACTAGATGCTTTTCTGTTACATGGTGTTTAGGACCACCTACATATCCAGAGCATTTCAGAGAACAGCTGAAGTTCAAAAATAATGTTCTATTCAGCCATCACTTACAGGCTGATAAAGACTAAATAAATCTTAGAGGCTCTGTGGTCAAATTGATTTTAAATACTATGGATTAAATAACTTTGACTGAACCCAGGACTTCTCAAATAAAATGGAATCCTTTTGTCACATAATACTAGCATTGCATGAAACAAATACTTCAGGAAACAAAGTCCAAAATATTTGAAAACATGTAATCCATGGGCAAACACATTTACTCAAGCTTTCATTGGTCCAGATGATTAAATACACTAGCTTGAGATTAAAGACATTTGCTGTTTATCCTCCAAACAAGTTTTCATTGAACCATCTTGGAATAATATGTTTGGAACATACAAAACATATGAAAGACTCCCTAAATGCAAAGCTGAGATCGAGCTCTGATTCCAGATTTTAAGTGCAGGTAACACCTGACACTTCTTTGTTTCCAATCAGGCAGCAGTGAAGGCCGTGGTGGCCTCTTCCCGGCTGGGAAGTGCCAGCAGCAGCCACGGCAGCATCCAGGAGAGCCAGAAGGCCGGCCAGTCACCGTCATCGATTCAGGATGGCAGTGAAGGTGTTAAATCTGTTTCGGAAGGAGAGGAAGTTCAAGGAGATGGGGCACAAGTGGCCGTTGAGGGGTCAGAGGCCGAGCTGATGAAGGTACAGGCCATGAAAGAAATTAAAGATGCTGATTTAAATGCTGCCAAGGCCACCAACGCAGAGCCCAAGGCACTAGAAGATGGGACAAAGGCGGCTGACCTGGAAATAGAGGAGGGCCTCGCAGAGGAGAGGCTGAAGATGGTGGAAGAAGCAGCAGCCCCCAAACAAGGGCAGGAAAACCCAGCTGTGGTATTTGGAGCCCAGCAGAAAGATGCAATCCTGCCAGAGTACTGATTCGGCTTCTTTCCAATCTGGAGGCCAAATTCAGGCACTTTGTACGTTTTGTCCTTCAGCAAGGAAGGTGTGGAAGCATGATCTGCATTATAGTGATTCTGTTTTTTGAGGTGCAAAAAAATACATATATATCAGTTGGTAATCCTAACTTCATGCATGTGACTGCTTTATGAAAAAAAATAGTGTCTTCTGTGGTATGTAATGGATACCTAATGCCGATGACTTAAATTTGAAATTGCGAGTAAACAACACAACATTTAAAAACACACATTTTCAGGGACCAGTAGCACACATTTGAAGTAATACATTGTTTGTTTTTGCTTTGAAAACCTAACCGTCATACATCCTTTGGATTTCTTCACAAGGCAGTAATTCCTTTGGCCTGTTGTTCAAGTAATAATAGGTAGTGCTATAAGATGTTCCCATGGCATTCACAACATTATACTTTTCAGTGTGTTCAAACTGTTTACAAGGGGATGGTTGTAGGCTATAGTTTTATGGTACATACAAAAAAATCCCACTTACAATGATAAGAAATTGAAGCATACCTAAGGGCCACGAAACAAAATGCCCTTAAAGCTTGGGTAGCGAATGCTTTCTTATTTTGTCCTCATTTATACACACTATATTACTAATAACCAAAAATGTTCTATCACAAAATCCTGCCATTTTACAGTTCTGGAGAAAGTATTTTACAAACTCCTGCTGAGGGATATATTCCTTCCTTCTCATGCTAATAAAATTTCTTTCTCATGGACAACACTTAAGGTAGGCTAAAGAAATTGAGGAAAGAAAAGTTGCTAAGACTTGGACTTAAACTAACAAAGGTTGACCTCTGTCATTTCCAGATAAAATTGGATTTATTCATGAGTTTGTACAACTTTAAAGACAGTGACATTTTTATGAATAAACTCTGTATTTACCAAGTTTCAAATATTTAGAAAAATCTACCCCCTAGGCTGGTGCCAAAATGTCTGGATAGAGTGAGAATAATATTCCATTATAAGATCCTTCACTTTACTAGAATAAGGAAACTTTTGTTTATGAAAGTCCTTTTTCCCTTCAGTTGAGGATTATCTAGATATATTGCTTATGAACTAAAGATATTTTGGAAAATCTGGTATGTCTTTTTCCGATACTTGGAATAGAAGTGCCCACATTTTACAATGTAGTTTTTTAGTTTCCATGCCAAGAAATTTAGGACAGTGCAATGTTTTATTTACCTTAAAAAAGGAAAGAAAGAAAGAAAAGGCCCTAGTTGCAAATCAGACTCAGGAGAAGCTGTAACATTAGACCTAATACTTCACTATGATTTTTTTCAAAGTAAGTTGCTTTGATTTTTCATATGAACACTTTTCCCCTTATAGAAATCACACTTAAATTCCAAGTACTTCATATTTCTTTCTAGTTTGAGATGAAGTGAACATTTTTATCAAATTATGCATCACATTTTAGGTTTCCTCAGTTTTAAGAAGGGATTATTTTCAGAGACCAAAATGATGGACAGTAGAAATGACTGTCACATAAACATCTCCATCAAAAAAAGATCTTAAATTCTTTTGGCTCTTTCTCAAAACTGTCAAATTGGAAAATGAAATGAAATTTCTGATTCCCGGGGGCTCTTGGATCCTGGTAGACATTCTGCTTTCCAAGAGCAAATCTTCCTTTACTGCTCTTCTCATGAGAAGAAGAAAATGCAGGACTTCTCATCATCCATGGTTTAGGGGCCTGACAGGTCACCAACATGGACAAAGGAAAAAGCACTCAAAGAGCACATCATCTGAGCTCAGAAGATTACTTTTTGTTTTATTTTTATTAGCTAGTAGAGAGTACTTATTTTCTCCCATTTCTTTCCTTTCCTATATATTCTCTTAGAATTTCCAGGTTAGTAATTATAAAGGGCTCACTCTTTTTCATCTTTAAGAATGCCTTCTTCACTAAGCATTAACATTTCCATTTAAGAAGATCAATTGCCTGGTGTTCTTTTCCTAATGAGACATAACAGGCAAATAGGGTAGGTGTCCCATATACTGGAAAAGGAAAGAGAGGGAAATGGATCTTATTGGACAGTGGCATTTTTGGAAGATCCGGGCCCCACCCACCACCCCACCCCCACCTCACCTCCCCCAACCCCCCCAGTGTTCCGATGGAGGCCGGTCGTTCTCTCATGCATCACTCAGGCTGACTGCGCTGCCTGTGGCCTATGTAGCAGGAGCTCCAGCAGTAGCCAGTGCCAAAGGCCAATGTGTGTTTAAGAATTTACCCCTTTAAATGAGAACACATGCCTTTTCCTCAGTGAGTACTTGAGCACCTAAGGGTGATGTCCTCTTTTTTGTTTAACCTGTAAATTGCACTTTCTAAAGACTAATGGGAGCTTTTAATTTTCATTGTAAGAGGTGAAGTCCTGATAATTACAAAATAGTGACTGTCATTTCAATACAAAAACGAGCCAGACTTTCACAAAAATTGGTCATTTCAGCCAAATTATTCAATCTAAGATTTCACAAAAATACAACCTAAGTTAGGATAATTAGGTTAATCTTTCTGAAAGAACAGCATTTATCTTGCTTATTTAAAGAGATCTGTTACCTATCTCAAAGATTACTTATCTAGGGACGCCTTGGTGGCTTAGTCCATAAAGTGTCTGACTTCAGCTCAGGTGATGATCTCATGTTCATGAGTTCAAATCCCGCACTGGACTCTGCTGACAGTTCAGAGCTTGGCACCTGTTTCAGATTCTGTGTCTCCTCTCTCTGCCCATCCCTTGCTTGCTGCCTCTCTCTCAAAAATAAACGTTTAAAAAACCCACAAAGATTACTTAGCTAAATAATGGTAGACTATTATAGAGAGAGCCTTAATTTGACAAACTATTTCATAATGTTACCTTTAATTAAGACAATATAGTCACAAAGCAAAGGTTATTTCAGCACAGAATAAATTATGTTTTGTATTTTAGAACTGACAGTTATTACATTATTGATTTTTGTTTTTCAAATAAGTTCATATACATAGTATAAACCAGACTATTTTACCATGAAGGACAGTCTTGAATTATTTCTCACATTTAAAAAGTCTAAAACGTCTAGTCAGAATCCCACTGGTTTTTTCAAGCTGTAAGAGCTCATTTGTCTCATAAATAAGGTAGAAGTTAGAATAATATGGTTCTAGAAGTTATCACCTAGAACAAGTGCTATTATTCCAATATATAATCAATATGAAAAATTATTGAGATATTTTGAATTTTTTATTTTTATACTAAGTTTTCAAAATCAGGAGCATATGTTACACCTTTAGGACATCAAGTGCTCAATAGCCACATGTGACTGATTCTAATGTTTTGAAACAAAACCGTTCCAGAGCACTTCTAAAGCGAATATGACACATGAATTTCTATGCTTAGATTTGAGCTGCCTCAGTTTTCCACACTCATGAGTTGGTAGGAGGCCAAAAACAAAATGTTTCAGAAATGTCATAGACCGAAATAAGTAAAAACTCTATTGGCCACATCTGCTTAATCATGTGCTTCAAAGGAATGTTTCCCAACACAACTTTTAGAGAACAATACCTTCATGGGCATTGCAGAATTGTCTGTTTGCCACAGTCCCTCTAATCCCTCTTTGGGCCCTGGAATCTTGACTAAGGGTTCGAGTCTCCTGAGTACTGCCATAGCTTCAACGGCATTCTTGTGTATGAAACCGTGTGTCTGCACTCACGAGGCACTACACACGGGATTTTGTAAGGCTGGAGTGAGGTGGGCATCATTTTGTTTCAGGCAATATTTCGTTCTACAAGCCTCCTGAAACATACTAAATTTGCATGATGAAAATTGTATGATGAGGGTGCAGATATCATCCCAGTAACCCCCCAAATGAGAAAGACCATTGGCTGGCACTTTTTAGATTTCCTTAGAATGGTTCAGTTAACACTGCCATTATATGTGAATTCAAAGACTTAGAATTGTCTTATATACTGCTGTTTTAGAATAAGCCTCAAGGTTCTATAGCCATGTTTAGTGGCAAACTTCTAAAAGAAAGGAATAGTTTGCCTATTACTCTGACCTCAATTACATAGTATTTTAAACATATTTTGTAATTTAGAATATCTAGCAACCCCTATTTCTAGTTTTACATGCAAGGTAACTGTTGGTGGGTTGTCTACAGACCGAAGATTTAAAGAGAGCCATTTTGTTTCATAATTCCGTTTTTATTACACAGAAGCATCTGGTTCCATTTCAAATTGGAAAAAAAGAAGTAAATGCCAGAAAAGGCAAAAAGTAAAATTAGTAAACCATTTATTCTGTTTTAGGATTGTTCTTGCAAAGCAAATGCAAAAATAAAAAAGAAGAAGAAAGAAAGATAAAAAAGAAAAGTCAACAAAGTGAATCAGCACTCAGTTTTTCTGGATGAAGGCTGACTCCATGTAAAATTGAAATAAGTATACTGAGCAGAGTCAATTACATAACTACAATGCCATTATGTAATTTATTGTCATTGCAGCGTATAGACAGGTTATGTAGGTCTGCTTTAGATGGTGCAAAGGTTTCCAGACATTTACCTATATCATAGGATTTGTAATATCCTTACAATCACTGTCTCTTAGGTCATATTCCAGTTTCCTTAGCGTTCATCACAGATATGTTCCCGATTAGGGTCGTTGCTAACATTTGAGCATTTACTACTTAAATACTGCTTAATGGCTAGACTCTTATGTGTGTCGTTGTGATTTCTAAACACATTTATGTGCATGCAATCTTGATATTACAATATTCATAACTACATGATAAATAGAAATGTACCCAAGAATTTTCTATACATTTTTTTCAAAGTCCTTTTCTTCCCCTGGCACAACTCAGGGTGAGTTTCTGGCTCCTTAACAAATAAGGGGAAAAAAGACCACTGGAGAGATCAGCCACCCACCATGGTTACCAAGTTCAGCATTTCCTCTTTCTACATGCTCATCGACTAAGGACCAGTTTTTGTCATTATTACTCCTTTCAGATATCACCTAAGACCAGATAATATCTCAGCTCACAAAGCCCAACCATTCATATACTTGCCTTGGAGAGCAATAACAAACGACTAATTTATGTTGGCTTGTTGAAAATTCCAACTTTCATAAATGCTTGTGATATACTCTAGAGGATTTGATTGCATGATTTTAACTTCCTTCAAGATTCAGCCTTTTCCCAGTCACCTGGCCCAGAGGTCCACATAGGGCAAGATGGAAGCCTTGAATGAGTGTGGACCATCTGACTCCTTCACAGGAATCAGACATTGCTCAGAAGACACTAGGCATCTGACCTGGTTG